AACGAAAAGGACAAAACAACAAGCCATTTTGAAAACGTTCTCATGGCATATTGATAACGCGAATTAAATAATTAATAAACTGGCGTTACGATGGTGAAACATTTTCGGCCAATTTCAGTTCTCTCGCTTTATACGTAAATTATAGTGTAAAAGGGTGGGTTCTTAGTAATATCATATATCTCCCATATTTTAATCATATCACGAAGAAAATCGGTTGAGACTCGCTTATATATTCATACCGGTGCTCACGTACACACGGCCCTCACGCACTATTGCAAAATTAGCTCTGCAACGTCGGCTGTGTTTATAAGTGTAATCCAAATGTACGGTATATTTGTATGCGTAGGGAAATAAAAAAGCTCCAGGACTACGACATTGGTCGCTCGTCGTTTGCTCTTGCGGGTCGCGAGTCGAGACTTATTTCCTATCGATTACGTGAGTAGCTTTTAATTAATGTAATGCACACACTGTGCGCACAGCCGTTGCAATAAGCGGAAACGCAGTTAACTCGGGTACGTGCGGAGATCCAGGGGCCTTTAGTTTTACGGTACAATTATCATTATACATTCGCGTATGACACATTGAAAGATAAGCATCGACACGAGTAAGTTCGTTGGCTTTCATTCGTCTTGTCGATACGACACCCATACGACGTATCTTGAGGCATTCGCCTTTTTACGACGTCTGGGCGCGCGAATCATTCAATCATTTTGTCATTGATTATTAACTGCCTCGTACTTTCACTCTTCGAGCGTCATTCAAATCGCTCGAGATTATTTAGAGGCGAGTAGCCGCGGCAACAAAGGCCAACTCGTGCCAAGTATAATTCTCTCTCTTAAGAGCGCGTGCTTACCAAGTACTGCTAGGCGATAAATCAAGCGTAGTCAAGTTTCGTTGGATTTACCAAAGTAAAGATAAACGAAAAAAAGGAAGAAGAAAAGAAATGAAATAGAAGAAGAAGAAGAAGAAGAAGAAGAAGAAGAAGAAGAAGAAGAAGAAGAGGAAAGAAATAGAACGTAAATAGATAAATAAATGAAAAGAAGAATGAACTGTATCCACGCCGCGCGGGTCGGACGGGGCAGCGGAGCGGGGAGAGTGAAGGGATGGTGGTTGAGGTGGGGTTAATAACGAAATCCCTCGGTTTCACTTTCGTGATAGAGAAGTGCGACGGGAGGGGAGCTGGGGAGTAAGGTAAAGGCAAAGGGAAAGGAAAAGGAAAAGGAAAAGGAAAAGGCAGAAAAAGAAATGGGAGAACGAGGCGCACTCGTGAGCTCATTGAATAATCGATGAGGATTCCGGGGTCCTGGACTTGGCGTCGGCCAAGGAAATAAAAGGGAATGGTCCCGCGTATCCGCAAAGGCAATTAGCGCGCGTTGTTTCGCGTCGGCATTCGCTCTCGGCTACGAATCTCGATTGTACAGCGCTGATGGGATGGGTGGGCGGGGGCGAGGGGGTTTGGCGGCGCTGGTGTGGAAAGAGAGGAGGCGGCGACACAATGCGCGCCTTTACCAATTTTATCACCAGCTGGCCACTCGAAAGCCGTCTGTTTGTTTTTCTCGAGGGAGGATGCGGCATGCGGCTCTCGAGCCTCTTCTTTCTTTTCTGCCGCGCCATTGCGCCAATCCTCCGTGTTAATGCAGCACACGTAACTTTTAAATGCATCTTTTTTTTGTATATTTTTTTATTTTTTGCTTCTTATTTAATTGCTTCTTATTTTTTTATCGCTTTTATGCATTTTGCAATACGTCGAGTACTTTCGTAATGCTTGGAAACGTTGCTCGGGAAATTGTCCCATGATGAGCAGCGTGTGTCGGTGGAGGGAAGGGCTATCGATGTACGTGCTTTTTTTCTTTTTTACTTTTCAAAGAAGAAGCAAGAGTTTATTTTACTTGGTTGTTTATTGAGTTTTTTTTTTAACGACTAAGCTAAATACTCGAGGAGAGATATTGCGATAATACGCACAGACGTTCGTTTCGATTGGGAGAAATATCGGAATATTATGGGTAGGGAGGCAGGCACCCTGAGAAATAAGAGGCATGGAAAAAGTAACTTTTTTTTTCAATTCTATGAATATTGGAGATTGTTTATCTTAGCTCGCTATAGAGAGGGGGGGGGAGAAAATGAAATGACTAATTTAATGATAACTGTGGCTAAATTACGTTGCACAAACGGATGTAAGTTGGCAAAGAATAATTCCATGCCAAGACCGTATTGCTTTCTTCGCTTCGGGGTTGTTTAATATGGGTAAACTAATGATGGTGAATAATTATAGGAAGCGCATGGCGTTCGTTTAAAATATAGTTTGCAATTGCCATTGTTTATCCGTTGATCAACGCTAGGCGAGTCAATAAATACTACTTACAACTCGGTTTGTTGACTAAATCTTCTCTCGACGTGTACGTACGTTGATACAATAGTGAGTCTATGTTATTTCTACTGAATAGATGTCGATCCAAATCTACATTTCATCGATTATAGTTCTATCGCCGAGAAGATTTAACATTATTCGACGAGAGAAAAAGGCAATATTTTTATTATTATGACAATAAGTATTGTTAGTATTAAAACTAAAACTTCAGTGAAAATGTAAGAATATTTATAATCCGTGAAATATCGGAAAATGTTATTCGGCGAATGTTATGTAAATATTTGTTTTTTTTTTTTATTTCAAAAGATTACTTATGTATTTAAATAACTTCATCTTCATCAATATATTAATGTGCAAGTTTGATTTAAAAAAGGATATAGTCAAATTTAAAATAACAAGTCGGACGTAGTATTTATTCTACTTTTGCATTTTAGCAAATGCATAATGTTAATTGCTTTCCGGCGATGTTTTTTCTTTTTTTTTTCTTCTTTTTCTTTAACCATTATTATCTTGGCAATAAAATTTGCGATCGCCCACGCGGAAAGACGAGAGCATGAAACGGACTCGCAGTGTACGCCACTAGATACTTTTGGTAGAGAGTTTTTAAATAAATCAATCTAATCAATTCGTGTGTTCCCTTGATAATAAAAACCACGACTTTTTTTTTCTTTTTTTTGAAAGGACTCGTTGAAGTTTAAGAATATGATAAGAAAATCCGTCAACGTTTATGATTAAATTATAAAGTTGATACGATATTCAGTGAAAATGTAAAAATCCGGGTTCATTGGACATATCGTAATTAGAGATAAAATAGTCTTTTGAATGTTAGAGTTTGACTATATAATACCGCATCGATCGCCACGCGTCAATTACGCACAATAAATTTTGCTGTTCTTTTTTCCTTCAACAATTTAATAATATGTCTTCATCTTCCGTTTGGTCTACGACTAATAATCTTTTAATTTCCGGTTTCTCACGAAAGCCCCGTCGAATATCGTTGTCTCGTTCTTTTACTCACAGGTTCCGCCCGTCGCAATCGTTTGATTATATAATTTCCGGCCTTCGCCAAAATGCACTTAAGGTATTTATCAATAGGCACGCATGCACCGCTGGCAAAACATTAGACGACGACATGATTCGAAGATTCGACAAGTACGTGAAAGCTTCAAGACCCAGATGGAAATTAACGGTAAAGCGCTGTTTCTAACTCTGCTGCTGCTGTCACACGAGCCTCTCTCTCTTTCTCTCTTTAGTCATCGTCCAGGTCGCCACCGTCGTAGCCGCTATCGTTGTCATCTTCGTCGCGACTACTCCGCCGCCCCCCATCGCCCCTCATACGTTATACTCGTTCTCGCCAAGATGTGCGTGTTCATTGACTCTCACGGGTCCGCGATCGTGCCCGGAATCGGCAATCGGGGCTCAATAGCCGTGACACGTCCGGCTACACGCGATGCCTTGACACCCGGGAGACCGGAGGTTGTTCCACGGTAAGAGCCACGGAAATACCATTGGCTGACTTATTCTTCTGCTTTTGACCTTGTGGAGAAGTGGCGGGGATCGGCTGGGCAAGGGGGGGGGGGTGCCGCTGAGGGTTTGATGCTTCGCGGGGACCTTGAATAAAGGTATTTAGCGAGGTGTGATAGACATTTGTTATTCTTTTATTTACTTTTTGGAGCTTTAAGCAAAATTTTCAGAATGTTTTATTTCACAAAATACAGTTTATTGAATAATATGTAAATCCGGAGAGCGGGGTCGACCGATAAAGTTTTATTCGGCATTTTATTAGACGCAGCCAAATTCGTCGATCATTTCGCATTAAGTTTCACTGACCAAATAACATTTCATTAGACTAAACACGTAAAATTTTTTAAAACGTTTTAAGCTTTTGAAAACATATTTAAGCATCTTTGGACTTTATCATTGAGGCAAGCATTAAACTTTTCTATTGTGCAATAATAATGATAATATCTAATAATAATATTATCAATTATTATTCTTATTAAAATTTATATTATTGAAGAAATAAATGAATGTCGGCAAGTAGACGATACTTTCCTTTAATTTAATACTAACCTAACTTTGTAAATAATCGAGCAGATTTTTATGCTTATTGTAGGTAGAAGATATCAATTGGCAAAATTGACGCTGCACCTAAAGAGAATTGCAGCAACGATAATAAAAAAAATCCTTTAGTCATTAAGGCAATTGAAAAGAATGAGCTTGTAAATTCATATTGAAATTTATGTTTAATGTAGGGGATAAGTATCGTACGCGTATGCTGATCTTAGATCTTGTTACTAAGTAAATATAAACTTCTAAATCTACTGTTTATGCCGTTTCGTAAAAGACGGAGTTTTCGTTTGATATACAAAAAGCAGACTTGGTTTATTATTTTTTTGTTCTTTCTCAATTCAAGAATATCGTTGTTCAATTGTTTAATCGAGAGATCGGCAGATAAACGTATCCTATATTTAAATTATCCCCAAATACAATGTCAATAATTATAAAATTGTTTCACCGATAAGGCTGCTTAATCTCAGGCATATTTATTTATTATTTCCAACTAAATTCTTTTCCATTATTGCAGGCAAAGTCGGAAG